GGCCTAGGTATCTAATGACAATAGCATTCAAAATTTTCTAATTGTGAAAGGAAATGTATATACCATCTTCCCCAACTTTGACGTTACCAAGATCGCCAGCATGACGAGTCTCATCTTCTGGAGCACCGTGCTCTTTTCCCGCAGGATTAAAATGAGGACCTAAAATCAAATTAATGAAACTCTGAGATAACAATTTTGATTGAGAAAACAGGATTACAATCATTCGTCAATGAAATTTATAAGCTATTAACATATACAAAAAGACAGTGACAAAGGTCACAAGAAAAATTACCAGTTGACATACAGCCGTTTGTGGTGTCACCTAAAGCATGGACGTGAAAGCCATGAAGTCCGGGCTTAAGGCCACTCAGGTTTCCAGTAACTGTTGTCGGAGCTGACAGATTAAACAAACAAAAGAACATACTCATCACCCTGAACTCATAATAAGTACTACTTGGAGAACATTTAATTTAAAGAGTGTGAAATCTACCGTCTCCTTCTTGCGCAAAGTATATGGTGCCACTAACTCCCTCGCTGCTGTTGAGGACTGCTACTGCCTTCACCATGGTGATATGTGATCTTAAAAAACGATAAAGACGCTGTTATTATTGAATACACACAGAAAGATCAACTTGAAAGTAAGTGCATAATGAGCTGAAATTAAATAAAGCAGTTTTCAAATATGAAGATACAGTCTGTAAATAATGAAACTAAGATCTTCAAATGGATTGAAATGTCTCAGGAAAGACTTGAATCGTTCAAAAAACATGACAGAACCCATGGACTAATATCTATACAATATTTTCCAAGTCAAACACCTCCACTATTCGATAACATTCTTTTTCTCATATCAGACAAGGACACTCCTTTTGGTTCATTTTATCTTTTGTGGCAAGTGATGCTCATTGATGAGCTCAATCTAATTGCAAGTGATTCAGCATTGCGCTATATTATTAATCTAATTGCAAGTGATTCAGCATTTTATCTCTTGCGTTTTCGGGGAACTTCTTTGTGTTTTGAAAAGGTGAATTCTCGAGATGACAAAATTATCAGCAATTGGACTCAATTAACAACCCACCCAAAGAGATGAAGGAAAACTTGAGAAAGGTACGAATATCGCAAAATTCAAAGAGTTTAAACAATAATAAAATAAGTCAACCAAAACTCCATTATAGCCAACGAAAAGGGAGAATTGTCTTCAAACATTTATTATTTAGAGAAAAACCAAAACGTTGCTTGTAATATAAGTATAATCAAGAAATAATCATGTACTTAAAAGGTTAACATCATCATCAGGTCATTATCAGCTAGAAACCTACTCCACTGCCCCTCCCTGCCTCCCAAAAAAAATAAAATAAAAATAAAAAAGGTGCGTGAGAGTTTCAAAATAAAAAGGGAAACATAAATAAACATACCAAAAATAAAAACTTCACGTACTTCTACTCTGTAGTTTCAGAAATTGTGCTGCGACAAACAATTACCCCCAGGAGAAAATTAAAAAAACAAATAGTAATCTTTGTAAGATTTTTTAAAAACGAAAAATCAAGAAAATATATAAATCCAAGTAGCGATAAGATCGAGCTGAACTTGAATCTAAGAATCACCCGTCAAAATCAATAATCAAATATATAAATCAAGTAGCGTCAAGCTTAAGCTTAAACTTCAATCTAAAGGTCGAAAATCAAAGTCAAACAAATAAAAATTCATAAACAGTGCCTCATCGATCGACGAAAAATAAGAGAGATAATATATACTGGTTAAATCCAATGAAAACAATAACAAAAGTGTAAATTAAATTGAAAATTTCGTATACCTCAGGGTACCCCTGTGTGGAATTAGAAAGTATGCGTTGGCGAAACCTAACAAATTCTGAAGTGATTTCTATTGAATGAGGAGTGGTAGGTGGTGTTTTGTGATTAGAATAGTCAGTTTGTTACCATTGACACGGGATAATTACGTAATTGATCATTGAATTTTGCATAAGATTTTCAAAGTGTCGCAGAACTTCAAAAATTTCCTGATTAATTATTGAACTTTATAAAAATAATCTCATACATCATTCAATAATGAAAAATTAATCTCATACATTACTCAGTGACGAACGTGATTATATTTTGTAAAGTTCAACGGCTATCGGAGAAATTTTTAAAATTCTTGATGAGGGATGATATTGCATTTTGCGAAATTCATTGATTAACGGGAAAATTTTTAAAGTTCAATGATCTTTTAGAAATCTTATGAAAAGATTAGTGACTAATCAAGTAATTTATAAATCTTTATATATTTTTTTAGTTTTTTCTTTCTTTGATGATGTTAGCAAAGAATCTTGTCGATCCCAAAATAATGGCGATACTAGAGAAAATAAAATTGTGGGTAGGAATAAAAAAATGACTACAGAAAATAGAGATTGATTCATTATTCAGTTATGAATATGATTACATTTTGTAAAGTTCAGTGATTAATAGGGAAATTTTTGAAATTCAGGGACCCTCTAATACCTTTTGCAAAGTTTAGTAATCAATCAGATAATTATCCTCCATTTCCACTGACCCTTATTATTAGAGTTAACCAGCTGGTTTTAAAATGAATCGGGCGGTTCATATATTCGAACTAGTTCTGAATTAGTATAAACAGTTTAAAATCAAGCATTAATTTTAATTATATATTCATAATAACTACTGAGGGAGTGTTTGAGCCACGTTATTTTGGAAGAATGTATTTTGGAATAGTAGATTGATAGAGAATGTGTGGTGGAAAGAGAAGGAAAAATTATTGATATAATGAAAAATATTATTTTATTGAAGCATGTGTGGTTGAAAATGAGTAGAAGAATGAAAATAAAAAAAATAATATGGCTCAAATATGGGCTAATTATTATTTATACATTTCATAGGATCTAGTACTAGTTCTTTTATTATTCCTATCAATAAATCATTTATAAATTTACCTAAAAAATGCTTAAATTGATCGTTCCAAATTGTTTCTAATAGATCTTGTCTGACCTGAGATGGTTCAAACGTATCACACGGAGTGATTACAGGTACTTTGTTTAGTTTAATGGTGAAATGTGTCATTAGGAGTGGATCTTGTTTCATTTGGCTCTAGGTTCAAGAGAATCAAATCGAATCACGAATCATGATTTTTTTATGATGAAATCGGATGGTTTTTTTTTTTTAAATGGAACCAAACCGAAACCGAAGCATGCAGTTTTGATTTGATTTTGTTCTAGTTTCATTAATGATTGAGAACAAAAGAGAAGTAACATTTGAGGAAGAAAAACCAAAGATTGAAGTTTCAATTTCAAAAATCCATGGGCGGTCGCAGCTGAGCGTGATGGTAGGTGACTACAGTGGTTGTTGGTCTCCACGTAAAAATCAGTGTATAAATAGAAAGGGATAGAAAATGAGAAATACACTAGGGTATAGGTTTCCAAAATAAATTAGGATCTTCTACACACCGAGAAATGAGAATCGCATGTACATGACTTTTTGTCTTGATTTTCAATTGAATTTTGAAAATGTGAATTATGATTCTCTAATTTGCAAAAAATATATGTATATAATAATAATAATAATAATAATAATAATAATAATAATAATAATAATAATAATAATAATAATAATAATAATAATAATTGAGTTCAGTTCTTGGTTTGGTTTTTGGTTATAGAACTAGAATAAAATCAAAACTAAATGGTTATCAATTTTAAGAATCAAAACTATTAAATTTTTTTTAGATTTGAACCGAACCGTTCGATTTAGTTTTATTTGGTTATTTTGTCCACAAGATGTATCATCATTTGGTTTTGTTAGAAATTGAATTTCTAATAAATTTTGATAAAAAAATGTGAATTTCATCAAATGTGTAATGAAATTAATTTTTGACTTTAAGTGCCTGTTTGACAACCATTTCAGTAGAAAAAAGAGTTTAGATTAGTGATTTTTAGGAAAATGTGTGGTTAAAATGTAGGAATTTTTTTTTATATACGTGTAGAATAATATTTTATGGTGTAAATGCATGTGGTTGAAAATGGTCATATATCAAACCGTAAAATAAATTAAAGAGTGTCAAACGAGTACTAAAATAGATTTTTATTAAGTTATTTTAGCACCTGTTTGTATCTCTACTTTATTAAAAGAGTGAATCCGCCGAGTACTATTCATTTTGAAGCACTTTCGTTAGCCTAAATTGCCCCCATATACATACTATTTACACCAACTATCCCCTATCCGTTTTCACTATTCACACGTGGGTTAAGGGTAATTTAGAAAGATCATTTTTAATCAATTTATATGCATACAATTATTGACTTTTGTTCGAAAAAAAATTTTGGTTTGCTCTGCACTGTGCGGAGCAGTTCCACACTTTTGTTATTGTTTTTTTTTTTTTTTTGTTTCTTTTAATTATTATTATTACTGTGCAAACAATAATAAATTTATATAAATAATATTAACCAAATTTACAAACACTTATTAATGATTTAGTTCAAAAAATTAACCCACTGAACACTTCAAAATCCGTTTTTTTTTTGTATCTAACTGTTCACGAGCTCGTTTCTATCCATCAAACTGTAAAGTATTCTATTACTCTCTCTCTCTCATATATTCATTTTTGTCACCTTCCATTTCACACTTCAACTGGTTGTGCACCGTTCATTTGTGTGGTGCTCCATTTCACACTTCAACTGGACATTTACTGTTCACTTATCGGTTAGTAGTGTTTATAAATATCTCCCTAATAAATAAAATAGCAAAAAGAGAAAATGGATCACTTCTACAACTCTCTCTAACCCTAATTTCAGTTGCCATAGAAATTTGGCATCCCTCTCTTCCACCCCTACCTCATATTCGACGCCTGCCTCCACCCTACCACATGTCCATCGCTTGCGAGCACCAGCTCTCGTGCCTCTTACCTTGGCTTTTAACAACAAACAGCAAACTGAAAGTGAGCTAATCGATTATTGTACTACAGGAGAGCATTTTATATTGGGCTTCCTTTACATGACAGCTTATGGTTAGTGTTCTATCTATGTTCTTATTTTTTTTTTTCTTTTTTTTCCACTGTAATACTTTTCTTTTCTTTACCCTCTTGTCCAATTTATTTTTTTGATCAATTTGCTTTTGTTATGATATTTCTTGTCAAGTCTAGGGCTTTACTTGGGAGGACATTCACATGGTTCAGAAATAACTTCTGCTGATCTTCACCGGGTCAATGAAATCCATCACAAGTTCCTTGGCTCATTCCTACGAAAGTATGGATTTTTAGAACATTTTTGTCAAGAAATCTGCTTATTTTGTAGTATGCGCAATCACTTATTTTCTTTAGTTTGGTGAATTTATTTTCTTATAGTAAAGAGAAGGCGAAAGACTCAATAATTTATTCGTACAAGAGACATATCAATGGTTTTGCTGTTGTTCTTGAAGATGAAGATACATCAGAAATAGCAAGTACGACAATACATATTTTTTTACATTTATTCATATGTTTCCTATGTCCTAGGTTTATAGCATGTTTGGCAATAAGGAAAAAAAATGTTAAAATCTCGTTCACCATAGTGTCCAATACAACATGATTATTTTGTACTAAAACATGTTTTTTGTAATTGAAGAGCATCCAGATGTAGTATCTGTTCTCTTGGATCAAGGAAGAAATTTACACACAACACATTCATGTGAATTTCTTATGTTGGAAAGAAATGTTTAGCATTCAAAACGTAAATATTACCTTAAAAATAACACAACCCGTACAATGCACAGGGCAAAAACTAGTTCTATTAAAAAGAATCGTTTGGGAAAAATGAGGGCCCACTAGTTTGTGTTTTAGTTTTAAATTTTGAAATTCATTTTTAGTATTCTATTTTCGAGAGTCTATTTTATTTTAAGATTGCTATAAGGTGTTTGATTTTGTCATTTTGAAAAATTATTTCTTAAAACCGAAAATTAGAGAACACGTTTGATTTGAAATTTTTTTATAAAAATATTTTCTGACATTTTATTTCATAAAATTTAATTATTCAATAAAAAAGAACAATTTTACATTAATATATTATCAAGTAATATACGTATTTTAAAATTGGTAAACTTACAAATTTTTTTTCTACAAAAGTAAAATAAAAATAAATAATAAATTAAGTTCAAAATATATGAAATAAAAATAAAAATATAATGTGAACTAAAAATATCTTTACTTGTATTTATTTATAATTTTATGTAAATAATTATTAAGATCGTGAATTATTTTTATTTTATTTTTTTAGATTTTTTATGTGTGTGTGTGTATCGAATTTCTATTTTTGAAAATTTTATTTAAAGATATTTTGTTAAACGCTTGTTTTTCCACATCTCGAGTGTTTTCAAAATTTTCACTGAAAATGATCACAATATAAAAAAATGTACTTTTTGCCCCTATTTGATGGAGATTAAAGTCAGATTTTTAGTAAATTTTGATAAAAGTTGATGAAATGTGTGGTTGAAATTAATTGTTAACTTTAATTTAAAAATTTAATTGAATTTTAATCCAAATTAAACATGAGCTTAGTTTTATGTCAAAAATTTATCCATGTTTTTTAAAATGTATTTTCAGAAGTTACAGACCAAACACATTTTCATTATTTTCCAAAACAGAATCCCAAATCAAACGCATCTTGAGTTTTGTAATGATTATTTTTTGAAAATGTGTGGTTAAAAAGTAGAATTGTTTTTTTGGATTTACGTATAAAATATTTTAGAGTTTTGAAATAGTGTTGGAGAATGTATGATTAAAAAATAAAATTTGATTTACGTATAATATTATTTTATGGGAGAATTTGTGATTGAAATTAAGTTTAAAAACAAAAAGATTTTTTGTGTAACAGTATAGCCCATGTTTGGTGCCATAGAACCTGCCCACGCTCTCCCCCGAATGGAGATCTCTCCCTTAACATCCAAACCCATCAGCCCACCCACCAGCCCCTACCTCCACCACCACAAATCGGCCTCACGCCAACAAACCATGGCCAACCCGCCCATGGAAGACATAGGCAGGCGGCGGCCATAGGTGCAAACCCTAGCGCTGCCGCTCGAGATCCGGAATTACCCCGTGTTCCGGCCATCTACAGGGCATACGCACCTGACCGAACGGCATCCCAGGTCATTCCGACCCCGGCGATGGCGGCGCAGCTGCCTGATGGCGCTCCCGCAGGGCGTGCATCTCACGCGCCGACAACTGGTAGACTGCAGAATGTGTGTGATCTACCCCGGTCATTTTAGCCCCCCGTTCTACTGTCGGATGCACCATTTCAACGGCATGCGGATATGTTTGGTACAAAGGAGTTTCATCTTCGAGATGGAGTGGAAGCAAATGAGTTTTTTGTGTCTATTAATGAATCCGACATTGTTATGTTGACCGAATGGGGACCGAGGACATCGAATGCAATATATATAGGGAGGTTTGGTGTCTTGTGGATGTTGAATATGATGGATAAATTGAGGGAGCCAAGCAAGCAATAAGTTTCTATCGCTAAGTTTACTGAGTCATCGAGAGCTTTTATGGCGCAGCGTTGTGGTAACAGTCAAGGTAGGTATCTGACAATAGCACAATATAGGGAGAGGCATCGTAAAGGAGTAGTGATGGTACCAGAAGGTGCGAATAGAGAGGGATGGGTGTCGATGCTGCGAATGTTTCAGGCAATTATCGATTTTTTTGTCACTATAGACAAAGTTAAGCGTCAAAGGTTAAAGTCAACAATCAACAAGGAAGGACCTATGCTGAAGTTACGGCAAATCGACAGGTCGAGCAGAACACGAAAAAGCTATTGTTGTTACAACAGCGGGTTCATCCTTTAATGCATGAGTTGAAGGAGACAACGCCAGAAGGTGCTTTAGACAGTTCATTGAGTAATGCTAAATAAGGGCTCGCATCCAGGGGTTGAAAGGTGAAGTGGAAGAATTGTTGAGACTACTGGGAGATGGCGCTCTAGAGGGCTCCAAGATGATTTGTTGTCATAAGTACGAGGCTGATATGTCTGAGTATCCAGCTAAGGTGATACAGCCAAACTTGTTTCAAACTAAAGAAACGCAGATGGTGATTGAGCCTATCAGAGAGAATTAGGTACGGTATGACGTGGAGTGTAATGGAGATGACGAGGGAGAAGAGATTATAGGGATGGATATGGATGAAAAATACTCGGGGTATGAGGCATCTCGGGAGGCGGAACCTTCATTCAAGGGAGGGGAACAGAGAACAAAGAGTACGATTGTGATGACACTGAATGAGACTTTTGAGAAGAGCGATGCAATTGTGATTGAGGGAGATATGATCACAGCTATAGACGGAGTTGGGTTGACAGAGAAAGAGATCGGAATAGTGATGGCAGAGGAATTACGTCCGGCATCGACACAAGAGCAAGTGGTGACAGGCTCGACTACTATGATTGTGAACACTTACAATATGAGGCATCATAAGTCTCTTACTGAAAATGAGTTAGGGAATGAAAAATTGATAGTAGTGTGGGAGAAGTGCTCCAAAAAAGGAATAATGGACAAGGGTATAGCGTGGGTGGAAGAGGGGGAAGGATAGATCTTTGAGCCTATTGGAGGTTACTATGCACGAGAGATAGTAAAAGTTACTGCGCTTGATGTTAGACCTCTAGCTTCAAATTGGGTTCTCCATAAAATCGGGAATTCAGCAAGATGGTGGGTGTGTCTTGTGATGGGTATGGAGATAACCTTATGCACTTGTTTAAAGAGTTGGAGACTTGTAGGGGATATGGGATGTGTTCACCAGGAGGAAGAGCAAGAAGAAAAAGGAATCGTGAACTTAGGTAGCTCGAATGTTCGATAAACTATGACGTTAAAGGGGGTGAGTCAAAGAGAGAGTTTTCGAAAAGGGAGGAATGAGAGTTTAGATGATCCCAAAAATCATTAGCTGGAATGTGCGGGGCTCAACGAAGTTGGAAAAAGGTTAGGTGTACAGAACATGTTAAGGATATGGCGGGCCGATCTTGTCTGTTTACAAAAGACGAAGTTAGAGGTCATTTCGAAGGCTGTTGTGAGTTCTTTATGGAGGGACAACATGTTGGGTATCAATTTCTTGGAGCTTCAGGGGCATCAGGGGGCGTGCTTGTCATGTGGGACACTAGAGTGTTTGAAATAGAGGAAATTAGTGAAGGGTTATTCTCTCTATCACTTTCCTTCAGTAATGTTGGGAATAGATTTAAGTGAATGTTTATTAGAGTCTATGGGCCAAACTCAGATGTGGATAGAAGGGGCTTGTGGGATGAACTGGCTGGTATGATGGCTTGGTGGAACTTACTAGTGTGCATTGAGGGTGATTTTAATGTGGTTAGGTTTCCTTCTGAAAGGTCGAGTGGAGAGAGATTAACAGGGGTTATGGAGGATTTTTCTGATTTTATTAGTGAAAGTATGTTGGTGGATTTGCTCATGATAGGGGGGGAGAGAGAGAGTTTACTTGGTCATCCAATTGCGATCAACCTATTCAATCTCTAATTGATTGATTCTTGATTAGTGGTGAGTGGGAGGCTAAGTACGCTGATGTCACTCAGAGGAGATTGGGAAGAGTGTACTCAGATCATTTTCATATTTCGTTATCTGGGATTAAAAGGGGTAGTGGAAGAAGACCTTTTAGGTTCGAGAGATGTGGTTGAAAGTTGAGGGTTTTGGGGAGCGAGTTCGGACTTGGTGGACCTCTTATGATTTCAGGAGGTCTCCTAGTTATATTTTACATCAGAAATTGAAGGTCTTGAATGGAGATTTAAAGAAGTGGAATGGGGAGGTGGTGGGAGATATAGGCGTTCGTAAGAATCAGTGTTTGTCAGACATAGGAAAGTTAGTAGGAGGGGAGTCGAGGATTGGATGAGCAGGAAAGAGATAGGCGTAGAAGGTTAAGGGGAGAGTTGGAAAAATTGGTGGAGATGGAGAAGATTACGTAGAGACAAAAGTCTGGGGTCTTGTGGTTGAAGGAGGGTGACAAATGTACAAAGTTCTTTCATCGGGTCGCTAATTCCGATCGGCGCAATAACTCTATTACATTGTTGGAGGTTGATGGGGTTACGTATGAGGATCCACGAGAAATTGTGACTCAGCAGATGAGATTTTATCGGAATCTCTATCGGGAGCAGTTTGTGTGGAGGTTTGAGCTGGAGGGGCTAGACTCCTTCACTATCACCGAAGAGGATGCTAGTTGGGTTGAGAGATCATTTGAGGAGGATGAAGTTAGGGAAGTGGTGTTTAATATAAATGATGATAAGGCCCCTGGACCGAACGGGTTCTCGTTCTCATTCTATAAGGCTTGTTGTGAGGTGGTTAGATCAGACATTATGGATACAATCAATTATTTTTTCAAACGTGACAGGTTTATGAGAAGTCTTAATGCCACATTCACTGTGCTTATTCCTAAGAAATCGGGAGTGACTGATATTAAGGACTACCGTCCTATTAGCTTGGATAGTGGGGTTTATAAAATTATTGCTAAAGTGTTGGTGAATAGATTAAAGGAGGTTCTGGGAAAAGTGGTGTCCAAGTTCCAGAATGTTTTTGTAAAGGGACGTCGGATTTTGGATTCAGTTCTTCTAGCGAATGAATCTATTGACTCAAGAATACATCAGGGTGTCCCAGGGATGTTGTGTAAGTTTGATATTCAAAAGGCGTATGATCACGTCAACTGGGGATTTATTATGTATATGCTCAGGCGATGCGGCTTCCGAGATAGGTGGTGTAAGTGGATTCCGTTCTGTATCGCTACGGTTTCGTTTTCAATTTTAGTTAATGGCAACCATGAAAGTTACTTCCGGAGTTGTAGAGGTTTGAGGCAAGTTGATCTGTTGTCCCCCTTGTTGTCTGTTATTGTGATGGAGGCATTTAGTAGAATGATTGAAAAAGCTGTGACGGAGGGTTTGTTAAGAGGTTTTGCCATTGGTCATCTACAAGTCTCCCATTTGTTATTTGTAGACGACACACTGATCTTTTGTGATGCAGACGATATGCAAATTAGGAATTTGCATCGCTTGCTTCTAAGTTTTGAAGAGGTTTCCGGTTTGAGTACAAATTTGGGGAAATTTATGGCTATTCCAGTGGGGGGAGATTGTTAATGTGAAGGAATTAGCGGCCACACTAGAATGCAGAGTCTTACAATTGCCCATGTCATATCTTGGGCTTCCGTTAGGTATGAGGTTTAAAAGTAAACATATTTGGAATGGTATTCTTGAAAGTGTGGGGATGAGGTTAGCGGGGTGGAAGCGTATTTTTTTGTCGAAAGGAGGTCGTCTTACTCTCATCAAATTCACGTTTTCTAATCTTCCAACCTATTTTCTATCTTTGTTTCCTACTCCCGTTGCAATGGCAAATAGTTTGGAGAAAATGCACAGGGATTTTCTTTGGGCAAAGTTAGGGGAAGAGGGGAAGTTTCATTTGGTCAAATGGGGTGATGTTTGTTCCCCTATTAGGGTTGGGGGTCTTGGATTGAAGAACCTTATTTTATTTAACAAGGCATTGTCGGGCAAGTGGTTGTGGCGATTTGGAATGGAGAGGGAGAGCTTCTGGAGAGAAATTATTGGGGTGAAGTATGGTGTCGTAGAGGGGGGGTGGCGCTCGGGTGAGGGTCGTGGTTCTTATGGGATGAGCTTGTAGAAGTATATCAGGAAAGGATGGAGCAATTTACAAAATAAATTAACTTTTGTGGTGGGGAACGGGACGAATGCCAAATTTTGGGACGATTGTTGGTGTGGAGATAAAACATTAAAAGTGCGGTTTCCTTCTTTACATCGCATCGCCTTGGAGCCTTCAGCTATGGTGAGTGATGCTATGGCTATATCTAATGAGAATTCTAGTTGGAACATTGCTTTCGGGAGGGACCTATATGATTGAGAATTGGATGACTATGCATTGTTTTTGGCATCTCTGTATGATGTGCACATTCAGGTAGGAGAGGATGACCGTAGAGGTGGAGGGTGGCACGGATTGGTTTGTTTTCAGTTCGTACTTATTTCAGATTTTTATGGGAACCTGTTAAGAGTTCATTCCCCTGTCAAAGAGTCTGACAAAGTAAATTACATCCAAGGGTGACTTTTTTGCTGTGGACGGCGGTGAGGGGACATACGTTAACAGCAGATAATTTTCGAAGAAAAGGCTATTGTATTACGGAGTAGTGCTATATGTGTAAGAGGGATGACGAGACGATCGATAATTTGTTCATTCATTGTGACAGTGTTCGTTGGATGTGGAATGATATTCTGGATTCGCAACATATCAGTTGGGTGTTGTCAAGGCGTATCAAGGAGGTGGTGTGGGCATGTAAGATAATGTTTCGAGATAAGAATAGCAAGCTCGTTTGTGATCTCATTCCAGAATGCATCATTTGGTGTGTGTAGAGAGAACGTAACGAAAGATGCTTTGAAGATCAAATACGGACGACAGAGCAATTTAGGGAATTGTTTTATTTGACTATGTATAGTTGGTTTAAAACTGTAACCATTAGTCCGATAGAAAGGTTGTCGAATTTTTTAACGTTTCTATCTTTTGATGAAATTGATAATGCACTTATGTATTATCTTTTGATTTTAATTTATAAAATTACGTGATTACCTATAAAAAAAATGTTTGGTGCCACCGTTTTAGAACCCTTTTTGTTACATGATCATTTTCAATTAAATTTGCAAAATAAAATATTTTGCATGTGAATTCAATTTTTTAAATACTTTTTA